TTTGTGTGTATGGGCTCTGGGTGTGTGTCCAGGCACAAATGGGTGTGTGCAACTGTGTGTGTGGCCTGCTGTCCGTGTCAATGTGTCTGATCTGGCTGAGAGTGTAGGGCGTGTTATAACATGGGTCTGGCCCTAGGCATCTGCCTGTGGGTGCTGGATGTGGCCTGCTGCTGTGTGTGGCAGGGCAGGGGGAAGCGAGAGACAAGATGAGGGTCTGATTCCCTGGGCTCTTGGGGGGGCTGTGTGCAAAGTCTGCTGCTCCACCCCCTTCCCCACAACCCTGTCTGTATAAAGCCCCAGGTGCCCCCAAGCTGGCTGCCTCACCCAGCTCCCTGCTCAGAACAGCGGGTGAAATTGCGCTGGAAGCACAAGCCCTGATTAATTATGGCCGCTGAATATGCAAATCAGCTGGGGGCTTTCCCAGCAGCCGCCGGGGTGCCAGCAATGCTGCTGAGTAAATACACAGAGCTGAGCTGAGCCGAGCCTGCGAGATTCAGAAGTCCCTCCTCGTACCTTTGTCAATTACCCTTTAATTTAGCAGCGCCCGATTTCTAATTCTTTAACGAGCTTTTTAGCTAATTAAAGAGTTCTTATTACACTATTAATTGTACCTCCCCTCCAAAATACCTGCACCAAGGTGGGTTGGAATTGCAAAAGCTGATGCCAGCTGATCTGCATTCAAACCCTGGGCTGTGTATTGGCTGTAATATATATATATATATAAAATCCTCATCAGAGGAGATGTTTATTGAATTTTTTTTTAGAGAAGGGGGGGAGAGAGAGAGAGGGAGAGAGACATGGATCAGTTGCCTCCCTTACATGCCCTGGCCAACCGGGGATGTGTCCTGACTGGGAATTGAACCCGAAGGCTTTTTTGTGCAGGACGATGCTCCAACCAAGTGAGCCACCCAGCCAGGGTGGAGGTAATTTTTTAAAAGGATAGGAAAAAATTCTCTCAAAGGAGATGATGGATTTTTGTTTAGCAAAATTTCTCCACCTCTCTGTTCCTCAGTTCCTTTATCTGCAAAATGAGGACAGTAACAGCAATTTCCTTTAAGGATGCGAGAAGGAACAAATACATTCATCCAGGGAAAACATTTGATGAACAGTGTTTGGCATGTACATGCCCGGTCATTATCATCATTATCGTTATTAATAGTGTTAGGTGAACTAATCACGGATCATGTGCACTTGCAGATGTGGTCTGTAAGGAAGAAGGGCTGAGTGACAGGTTATTCACAAGAAGGTGAGATAAATTTGATCTGAGTGTAGACAGCCTTAGAGGAAGGGGGTGAAGAGGGTAGGCAAGGAGAGACACCAGGGAGGGAGCGATGGGAGAGAAAGGGCAGCAGGACAGCAGGAAATCCAGACTTGGGGACAGTACACCTCCAGTGACAAATCCACAATGGTGGGCGCTTTTGAGGATAAGGATATTCCATATTCAATGTTAACTTGTTGGTTGTCCTACAATGACGCCTCCACATTCACATACACACTCACATGCTGACGTTCAGTAAAAGTTAGATGCCGTCACTGCATTAGTCAGGATAATGAATGTTAGCTGCTGTAACAAGCAACTCTTAAAAACCTCAAGGGCTTAGCATTGGCTGGTGCGGCTCAATTGGTTGGAGCATCATCTCATGCACCAAAAGGTCATGGGTTCGATTCCTGGTGAGGGCACATCCCCACGTTGCAGGTTTGATCCTGGTTGGGACGTATAATGGATGTTTCTCTCACATCGATGTTTCTCTCTCTCCCTCTCCTTTCCTCTCTCTCTCGGAGTCAATGAAAAATATATCCCCAGGTGAGGAATTTAAAAAAAATAAATCTCAAGGGCTTAAAACAAGTTATTTCTTGGTCATATCTGATGGAGATCTCCTTGGTAGCATCCTCCAAGTAGTAACTTGGGGAACCAGGCCCCTTTCTAGTTTCATATATGACCCTCCATCTTACTCATGAGATCTCCAAAGTCACCATGGAGTCACCATGGAATGGGAAGAAAGATCATGGAGGACTACGGAGGAGGTTTTATGGCTACCCATGCCAGGCCCCAATCTACCTGCAAGGGAAGCTAGAAAATGTGTTCTCAGGTGTGCCCAGGAAGAGGAAAATAACCTACAGCACTGGTGTTACCATATGTGTTGAGTGAAAGATGTTTGGGAGAGGAAAGCAGGACCGTGTCTACATTTCGGTTGACAGAAGAGAACACAGGGCGAAGAAATCAGCAAATGCAACAAATCAGGAAACAAGGCAGCCAAGAGAAACAGCATCCCCTCAAGAGCCCTCACGGGTCTGTGAGGGTTTCTGGGTAGTTCACTGCGTGTGGAATAATTCCTTACGGCTCCTTAAGACTCCACATGGCTCTTCCCTCACATCCTTCATGTCTCTGCTCAAATGTCACCTCCTCAATGAAGCCTCTCCTGACCACCCTATTTTAAATAGCCACCCACCCCATCACTTTCTAGCCATGTACCTTGTTTGATTTTCCTCACAACAACCACTACTACCTGAAATCACATTTACACAGTATTATCATCTCCCTCAGGAGTGAGATTCTGTGGGCAAACACCACATTGCTCTCCTATCCCTGGCATCTGGAACAGTGCCTGGCACTGAGTAAACACTCAATGGAATGAAACAAATGAATAAATGAGTGAATGAACTCATCAATCAACCTCTGGACAGCAACATTCTTCATGGTGGTAAGACTCTTAGTGACATTTATTGAATAAGGAAATCCAAGACAGATAAATTCAGGTGACCTTAGGGGGCTGGTGGCAGGAGTAGTAGGGTAAGCTCTGGGTTTGGGGGAAGCACTCACCCCAACCTACGACCTCTACCCATCCAACCCCACCTGACCCAACTCAACACACATGCCCGCCATCACTCCTAACTCAACAATCTCCATCAACAGGTGAATCTCCATCAACTGGTAGACAAAACGTGGTATAGCCAGACAATGAAATATTATTCAACAACAAAAGGAACAAAGTATTGATGCATACTGTAGCGTGAACCTTGAAAACATTATGCTAAACAAAAGAAGCCAGACACAAAGGGCAACATATTGTAACAGTCCATTTATATGAAATGTCCAAAATAGGCAAATCCATAGAGACAGAGAGATTAGTACTTGCCTACTGTTGAGAGGCTGGGGGAGTAGAGAGTGACTACTAATGGATATAGCATTTTTTGAGGTGATGAAAATGTTCTAAAATTGATTGTGGTGATGGTTGTACAAGTCTGTGAATGTACTAAAAACCATTTACTTCAAATGGGTGAATTATATGGTATTGAATTACATCTCAATGAATCTGTTTTTAAAAAATAAAAATCAAAAATTTAAAAAATGAAAACACTTGAACCCAACATCTAACCCCCAATTCATGCCACCACAAACTCATCTCTCAGCTTAACTGATCCCATCTTGACTGACCAAACTGACAATGCCCACCCCTTACTCATAGTAACTGCTACTTACCTGTACTCGGTTCATCCTACTTTCAAATCAACCCTAATTCAATTTAACCCGACACCTAATTCCAAACCCTTAACTCAATCCACTCACCATCCAACCTCCAACTCAACAGATCCCATCATTAATTCACAACCCCAAACTCATTCAACTCACTCCAAACCAACCTCCAAATCAACGCTTCTTCAACCCATTTTCAGACCCTAAATGCCAACCCCAAACTCACTTCAAGGCTCAACTCCTAACTCAATTCTCTTTACCCCCAACTCATCCCCTGACTTGCCACCCAGGCCTTTGGCATCTAGTGATTTCATCTCACATCAAAACCACATCCCATTTCATCTCTTGATGCATCTCCTCAGCTCAGCCAGTGTCTCCAGGACTAATAAAGACTAACATAAAAATCTGACTGTCCTTTTTCCTTCCTTCCTTCCTTCCTTCCTTCCTTCCTTCCTTCCTTCCTTCCTTCCTTCTTTCCTTCCTTCCTCTTTCTTCTTTCAAGGTTGATGCCTTCCTAATGGGTTCTCATTTTTTCCAGCTTCACTGAGATATAATTGACATATATATAACCTACAAGATGTAAGTCTAAGTGTACAATGTGTTGATTTGACCCACGTATGTATTGCAAAATGATTTGCTAACACTTGTATTAAGTCACATAATTATTTATTTTTTTGTGGTGAGAAAAGTTAAGATCTACTCTCTTAGAGATCTAGATATATTAGAGATGTATTTTCAACTCTCCCTGAGTTAACAATCAGGCCCACCATCTCCAGTGAGTCCCATTATAATTGGGTTCTCCCCCCCCCAGTCACTTCCACCAGAGGACACACTTAATTAAGACAGGTGGTGGCAATACCTCAGGTGACACAAGCGCCAGACCCTAAGAAAGACACAGCCAGCACCAGAGGAAGCACACAGACAGGGACACAGTTCACTGGTTTATTCTCAGACTTGAGGTGCCAATCATGCCCTGGGGGGGGGGGGCAGGCTAGAGTTTCATCACCTCCCAGCCTTCCGTAGGGAGGAAGCAGATGAAATAGACAACAGAGGGGAGTTTCCCTTTCATGTGGACCCAGGTATAAATAGGGCAGCACCATTAGGATCCTGATTTTCCCCGCATCTTGGTCCCCAGACCACCTGGCGCGGCGCGAGACGAGGGGCCTGCATCCGAGCTGGGCCGCGGCAGCAGGGACCTCACGCTCAGGCCGCCCAAGCCCCTCTTCCCTCCCGCTGAGCCCACCTGGAAATCGGGGTGAATGAAGGGGCCCCGCCTGGGGTCAGGAGACGTCCAGTGCTTTAACTATGGGGAAGGGTAGCACCAAGGGGTGTTGGGGGCACTGCCTGAGACGGGAAAGGCAGGTGGGGGCATCCATCAGCTCGGAACCAGAAGGTCATTGCGCGGGGGTGAGCGGGGAGCTGCGGGTTGACCGCGCGGAGCGGGGAGAGCCAGCAGGGGGGC